CGATAACCCCTTTTTCAACCTACTGGACACTCCTGGTGCATAAACAAATATTTAAATATCCAGCGGGTGAAGTGACCTTCCGGAGTTCTCAGCCGGTAGGGTTTATTTGTATGTTTGAAAACTTTGAATAACTCACGACCTTTTATATAGCTGTCAACAAAGTTGACAGCAAAACAACGTACAAATGCCACAGACGTACTTCAAAGTAAATTATGATTTGCAGCCAGAATCGCCCGTTACCCTCTGCAACCCAATGAATGCCTCTGTTTTTTCAATTATATATTGATGTTTCAACACGTTAACAAATGTTGTCGTGAGTAAACACTAGATAACGCTAGACATTCCATCTTTTAGATTGCTTCCTTCTGTTATGCTTAGGTCAGACTGGGTACTCGTACTGGTTTGTTCCACGGGTCCTTTAAGAAGGATGCCGGGGCTAGCGTGAAACCTGCCTCCTTGAGGCCTTTCCGATCTCGCGCCTGAATATAGTGAAACTTATGCGGTCCTGCGAACTCCGGTCATTTTTAATTATAAATTCTACATAAAGGCGACCTCCATTTTGTGTAGTATGAGTGGTATTCGACAATGCCTAGTCGGCCCTAGCTGTCGCTGTTAATAAATACGGAATATTTCTAGCTATGGACATTTAGTACGCAGAAACAATTGCATTAGAAGTTAATGATTAAAATGTTCCGTACTTTTAGATGTTTATGATTTTCACCTATCAGTTTGCCTCTTAAGTTAGGTAAAATAAAATCCTACAAATCAAGTTCATTAATGACATAAGTGCCACATTTTATATCACATGATGTTTCTTTGGTATTCATATATCACTGAGTACTGACTAACTGACATATACCTCTCATTTTCAAGGAAAATACTGCGGTGATGAGCTTCTAGCCTTCTCATTCCTCATTCTGTCAATCTCAAACACATTGGCAAGATGTACTAATCCTAAGGGTGTAAGGCTACCTTCCGTCGTGCAGTAATCACGACCATGCTTATTTTATAATGTTTACACAAAGCCATCTGAGATTATCGCCCAAGTTTTTACTTTCATTCTGGCTTATTCTTCACGAACATCGGTACCCCACGGCGTAGAAATATGAGTATCCCTATTCTCAATGTCCTTCTTTTGTGCAGCCGGTTGTTTTAATTAAAATTAAATGATGTGCTAATCTCCTCGCAACTGTGTCAAGAAGTGGCACAAGATTGGCGGAAAATGCGTTTTGGGAATATTATGCTACAACAGCTGATGGAATCCAACTTAGCTCCCCATATAAGGTTTGGAACCGAGCCTGAACATATCTGTTTCATTTCATTCATTCCTGCATTAGTTTCTTCAGAACATAGACAAGGCAAATGCCATTTTTTGCTGAACCAAATATGAACTTCTTTTTTAAATGGAAGGAAAATGCGCATGACAACATGATCTGCAAGCACTCACAAACTTTCGTCTTGATTTCCCATTCTGCAAATTCGCACTGTAAAGGTTCTCATCCGAAAGATTACACTGCCATTCAAATGTCTGGTTGTGACATTTGCCTCTTCTTGACTACCGCAGAGATGACCACACTGACACTGGTCACCGCTACGCGTAGACGGAGACTGATCAACTGTGGACTTGGTCTCCCAGAAGTTCACAGGCTGCAAGACCTCTCCGTTTACCAGCCATTCAAGCTGGGCAGCGGGTAAGGAAGGCTCACTGCTGCAGGTGACTTTTACTGGGTCGTCCATCTCGATCCAGCCGATCGCCTGCTCGCAGTCCTCCTCATCACTGTTCTCGTAAGGTGCTCCCTCTTCCTGTGCGCAACTGTTCACGTTGGCCAGAAGTATGTCGTTTACCGCCAAATGCAATTCTTTTGGAGGCACTGGAATCAAAATAAAAAAACTTTAAACTCAGAATATAAGCAATAGCTACGTTAGAACGATAAAAGTAGCTAATAGCTAAGAGGTATTCTTGTAATAAGTATGCGAACGAAAAGGTCCAAAGAAAATCAAAAGAAAGTATGCAGTAATTCTGTGGCCCATCGGGTAAGCCACGTTTTTTTGCTTTGCGACTGACAACTGTGTTCATCCACCACTCGGGAAGATAGGTTATTTAAATGTCAACTAATCTTGGTTTGACATGCGCTTCGCGATATTTGAAACTTCTATGCCATCGAGGGTTATTTCGAATAATCGTCTCAGCAGTCAACTTAAAATGGTCAAGTCAGAGATGGTAACCCGTTGAAACTATGTGTTCAAAAATGTGTAGACGTTGGGAAACCGATGTACTAGATAGAGAATTAGTACGTGTTTCGATCACCGAAATCATAATGTTACTTATATGAGCTTTCAGGCTCTTTCTGGCGTCCATCGTCAGATATAAAAGGCGTCAACGAAAGACAAACAGCAGATATAGAAGGCAGGGGCCAATCAACCGTTACAAAGAGGTGGAGGGGGGTAATCAACCACCAGGGCCATCAGTCCGGAGATGCCTGCGCAGGGCGATGTTTACCGGTGCCAGATCGATAAATCGACTGACTGAGTTCTCGGCCGTGGCCTACACATCACTCAATTCGCGGCCTGTTTTGTTGTCGCCGTGCGTATTGATCAAGGCCCAGGTTTTAAGCAATTCGTGGCTCGTTTGTTTGCTCAGACAAGTAAAGTTGCGATTCCGGTGATCGAAACGCCATCTACTTCTCCATCTACACACC